TTTTTTCTTTTTGCTTATGTGGTGCTGAGGAATTGAACCCAGGGCCTCAGGCATGCAAGGCAAACGCTCTACCACTGAATCACCTTCCCAGCCCAACAACTGGTTTTTGAGATACGTATACATGAAAACTTTTGATATTGTTGAATATTTTTTCAAAGTGGCTGTACTAGTGACACATTACCCTCCTCCTTTCTGATGTTTTCAGAATAAATTTTTTTGCTATTCTAGTAGAAGGTGTTAGTATATTTTTATGTGGCTTTATATTTCTTCTTTTGTGACATGCCTGTTAATTTTTTTTAATTTGCTGTGATCATTTTTCACTGTATGCTTATTTTTCTATTGATTTTTTTCCTGTCCTGAGGCTTAAACCCAGAGCCTTGTACAGAACATTGTCACTGTATAGGACGTTATTACCTGTAGTCAGTCAGGGTCTGAAAATATCTATGGCAAATCCCAGAAATAAAAACTCGAAAGCTTTAAATTGCATGCCTTTTTGAGTAGCAGATAAAACTTTCAGATGACTTGTTCCATCCAGGTGGTATATGACCCCCTTTTACCCAGCATGTTCAGGTGTGTACTCCCATAGGGTTGTCAGAGCTACTTTTATCAGTGCTTGCTTACAGGTTTTCTTTATTTTGGGTAGTGAACAGCCCCAAGTGCAAATTGGAAGTGCCAGAGTAAAGTCATAAATCCTGCTTGCAAATGAAAAAATGGAAGTTCTTGACTTTATTTTATTTATTTATATTGTGAAAATACTGTACAGAGGGGTTACAGTTACATGGGCAAGATAATGAGTACATTTCTTATCAAGCATTGTAGCCTCCTCCTTTGTTTCCCCTTCCCATCCCCCCCCCAAGTTCTTGACTTTATAAGGAAAGAAAATTAGTTTCCTAAGATTTGATGTAAGAACAAGTCTATCTAAAATTGTGAAGAAGTTGTGTTAGTCTTGGAGTACAGCTTCAGACCACTAGTTTCAGCCACAGTGTGAAGAGGTGAAAAGGTGCTATCTGAGGTTAAAGGTATCCACTGAAGTCTTGTGGATAAGGGAGCGTAATTATGTATGTCTGGCTGCCAGTGTTCTGAGAGTTGAACTGTAGGGGCCTGCTGTTTGCTAAAAACACTTCTGTTTAATCCTTTGGCTTTCAGCCTTGAGCCTCATTCTACTCTTTGAGTCTGGAGTCTTTCCAGGTCAGTATTTCTAGGAATAAATTATGAGAGGACAAGAGATAGTTACGGAAAGGGGAACCTAGAGAATCTAACTGTACTTTATTTATTTGTCTGTCTGTCTGTGGTGGAGCTGGAACTGAGGGCCTAGGCGATATCCCTGAGCTCTTTTTTTTTGCTAGTTCTGGGGCTTGAACTCCTCCTGGGTACTGTCACTGAGCTTCTTTTGCTCAAGGCTACCATTTTACCACTTGAGCCACAGCACCACTTCCGGCTTTTTCTGTTTATGTGGTACTGAGAAATCAAACTCAAGGCTTCATGCATGTTAGGCAAGCACATTACCACTGAGCCACATTCCAGACCTCTTGAGCTCTTTTTGCTAGTGGTCTACCACTTTGAACCACAATGCCACTTTGTGTTTTCTGGTGGTTAATTGGAGATAAGAATCTTACACACTTTCCTGCTCCAGATGGCTTTGAGTCAGATTCTTAGATCTCAGCTTCCTGTGTAGCTAGGATTACAGGTGTGAGCCACCAGTGCCTGGTTCTAGCTGTACTTTATGCAGACTAAGTATCTTCCCTTCTCTTTAAACTTAGGCTTGTCCACCACTGGCCTGGTGGAGATTCCGAGGTCCTGAGTTTCTCTGGAGTTCTTTGAGTCAAATTAGCATGTTCTTTGACCATATTCCCTCCTGTAAGTTGTAGATTCAGCATCCTTTCCACTACTCAGTCATTTATTCCTCCATCTCTTTTCTTGTTTCCTGAATACCATATCTTATCTCTTTAGGGTATTTTTTTTTGGGGGGGGTCTGGTCATGGGTCCTGAACTGTGGGCCCGGGTGCTGTCCCTCAGCTCTGCAGCTCAAGGCTAGCACTCTACCACTTGAGCCACAGCGCCATTTCTGGCTTTTTTCTTTTTGCTTATGTGGTGCTGAGGAATTGAACCCACGGCCTCATGCATGCAAGGCAAGCACTCTACACTGAGCCACCTTCCCAGCCCCATCTTTAGGGTATTAAATATAGTTTCATGTTGGTGCCAGTGTTTGATGCCTGTAAGCCTAGCTACTCAAGTGGTTGAGATCTCAGGATTATAGCTCCAAGCCAGTGGGGCAAGAAAGTCTGTGAAACTTGTATCTCCAGTTAACCTCAGAAAGCCAGAAGTGGAGTTATGCCTCAAGTTGTAGAGTGCTAGCCTTGAGCACTCAAACATATCCCATGCCCTGATTTCAAGCCCTAGGACCAACACACACACATATACACGTACACTATCTATATATCTAATACACTATATATAAAATATATAGATACTATGTAGATACTATATATATATGTATATGTATGTATGTATAGTTTAAGTTTTCTTTGCATAGCTTCCTCTAACCTCTTGTTTTTCAGTTTGGTATTGTATCCTTTAAAAAAGTGATCCTTCTGAGAAGTCTAACTGGTAATCCTTTGTTGTCTGTTCATGGCTAAGAATGAGTGACTAACAGCTAATTGGAAATCCTGAGTTTGTAAATAGGACTTACTGACTTCCAGTTTTACTCTGTAATCTAAAATCTTACAGCAGTGGTTCTCAACTTTGGTTGCACATTACAATCACGAGAGCTTTAAAACACTATCCTTGCTGCTGTTAGACCACATACTTTAGAATCTCTAGGGATAGCACCCAAGTAGAAATACTTTTAAAAATTGTAGGTGTGGGGCTGGGAAGATGGCTCAGTGGTAGAGCGTTTGCCTTGCATGCCTGAGGCCCTGGGTTCGATTCCCCAGCACCACATAAGCAAAAAGAAAAAAGCTGGAAGTGGCGCTGTGGCTCAAGTGGTAGAGCACTAGCCTTGAGCTGAAGAGCTGAGGGACAGCACCCAGGCCCAGAGTTCAGGCCCCACGACCGGACTCCCCCCCCCCCCCAAAATTGTAGGTGTTAGCAGGATTCTGGTGGCTCATGCCTGTAGTCCTAGCTACTTAGGAAGCTGAGATATGAGGATCACAGTTCAAAGCCAGGCTGGGCAGGAAAGTTCATGAGACCCTTATCTTCAACTAATCAGTAAAAAGTTGGAAGTAGAGCTATGGCTCAAGTGGTAGAGTGCTAGCCTTAAGTGGAGAAAACTAAAAGCACAACACCCAGACCCTGAGTTCAAGCCCCAGGACCCGCATACATACTTAACCATACAAAAAAAAAAGGTAGGTATTGTTGCACATAAAAAACAACAACAAAATTTTAATGGTTTGATGG